TTTTTTTTTTTTTTTTTTTTTTGCTAAAAATGGATTTAAATGCAAGATAGGAAGGAATAGTTGTAGAACTGACAAGATGTGGGTTTTTAAAAATCTCACTGGTGCAGGAGCTGACTGCATTTCAGAGGGCGAACTTCCTGAAGGGGTTAGTGACAAAGTTATTAAGATTTTAACAAGATGATCATTCTTATCCTTAAAATAATTTCCACTTTTTTTTTTACAACAACAATGCACATGAATTCCCCTTTATCTACATCTTCACCAATAGTAGTCATTGCATACTTAAAAAATATTGTTTATACTTGCTTTTAGTTACTAAAATCTCACACTGAAATATACCCCCAGATCCTTTCTTTTTATTTATTTATTTGAGACAGAATCTCACTAAACTGCCTGGGTTGGGCTTGAATCTGTGAACCTCCCGCCTCAGTCCCCAACTGTTTAAGTGTTTAATTGACAGTAATTTGTTGCTTGCCAGTAGCATTAATAAAAATAACAGAATCAAGACTCCTGCCTACTAGTCTGTGGACACCGTTCTGGATATTTTGTCTCCTAACTTAGTTAATTCTCACAAGCCTATGGGATAAATGCTGTTTTTATTCCTTGTTTTACAGATGAGGGAACGGAGGCCCAGAGCCGCTAAGCAACTTGCCCCGGGTCCCAGCGCGGGTGAGCAGTGGGTGGAGATGCTGTCCAGCGTGCCCCACACCTCTGGGTCAGTTACACTGGGCAGTGGGGCTACAAGTGCTGGACACGAGTCACAGCAGGTGCAAGTCCTCAGGACCCAGAGCAGGTGAAGCCTGGGGGTGGCAGGAGGGCAGGCAAGCCGCACTCAGTGGCTGCCCTCGGAGGAGGGGTCGGCATGGGAATGGGCCCCTGGACAGGCCGGACTACTCTTTACAGGCAGCCGGCTGCAGAGCGGACTTGTCATCCCGAGGGGACGGGAGGCAGCCAGAGTCCTGCCAGGGGTGCGGGAGAAATGACTGATTCGCACACAGGTCCAGCGGCAGCTCCATGCCTGTCCATCTTTCCCCTCAGCCTCTCAGAGCTGCCTGCAGCAGGTGGCACCTGGTCACAGGAGAGGACTTCTGCTCCAAGCCACCCCGCTGGAACCCAGGAGCCAGGACAGGGCCCCACCATGACCATCTCGCCGGGCAGGTGAGCTCCGGGCACCTTGTTTATGTGTTGGGTGGACAGCGATGCCCCTGAGGCAGAGATCTGGGGGCTCAGGCCCAGTTCCGCCTCGGCTGTGAGGTGCCGGCTGGGCTCTAGGAGGGAGACCCTGCATGCTTGGGGTCCTCACTGGAGTGGCAGTTCTGGGGAGTTGTAAGCATCAGCGGTGACCGAAATCACAGCCCCAAGTGAACTCTTGCCCAGGAAATCACTGCAACTACAGAATCCCAGGTCGGCCCGTCTCTCAGGCTCGGTCGCAGAGGCCCCAGGCAGCTTCGTTACGAGGGCAGCAGACAGGCAAGGGCCCTGACGCCAGGACTGCTCCGAGAGTCCCAGGCGCCCGGCTCCTCTGGCTGCTGCAGGAGCTCGGCCGCGTCAGTGGCTGGGCACAGAGGACTCGTTAGGCTGCCAGCCGGAGACTCCCGAGGGCGCAGCCTGGCGCCGCGCAGTAATTGGCCTCACTGGGCCGGGCCTGCAGGGAGCCGCGGGAACTTTCGGTCTGGTTAGCGGGCGGGCCGTGACTCACCAGGGAGGCAGAACAGGCAGAGCTGCTGTGCAGCCCAGAGGGGAGGCCTTTGTTTGCCCAGTCAGCCTTGGGACCCTGTCCTGCAGGATGGAGACAGACTGGCCCATCCCGCCTTCCTTCCATCTGCCCTGATTCCCGTCTCCTCCCACAAAGCCCACCTCCCCGTTTCCTATTATGGTTTATCTTGCTCTTTACTTATATTTTGAGTTTTCATCTAAGAGAAGCCAGGTAATAGTTAAGCACCTGAGCCTGATGTACTGCACTTCACATCACGGTCCCGAGGTTTGCCCTTCTCAGCGGCGGAGTGGCGGCCCCGAGCCGTGGGGCCTCTCCATCCGTCGTCTCCTCGTGGACACACGGCCCCTCCAGGTGTGGCTGTCCCGAACTGAGCTGCCGTGCACACAGGTGTGCGTGTGTCACGGCACTGTGAGGGCTTCAGCTCCGCGTGGGGGAGCGGGGGGGGACGTGTGCCGCGTGGGATAAGCCAGGTACAGAGAGGCAGGCGCCCTCCGACCGGGAAGCAGGGCCAGGGGCCGGGGGCTGATTGTTTAGGGGCAGGCGCATCACCGTGTGACGCGGACACTCCGTGCTGTACGCTGTCCCCCGGCCTCACTGTGGTTCACACTTAGGCACCACTGCAATTTGTCCAAAAAATAAACAATGGACATCGAATGGGCTCTGCAGACTGGAGATGGGTTCAGCGCAGCTCATGTTCCCAGTGGGGCTCATCCTGTGACCATGGGCGCGTGAAATTCTTAGCACCCTCATCGCGGGAACAACCTTGACATCCGCTCGCACCCGAGGGAAAGGCTATTACCAACGAGACAGAAGACAAACGCCAGGGAGGACGCGGGGGAGGCCGTCGCAGCTCAGACCTCGGCGTCCCCTCGGGGCTGCTGTGAAGGCGCCATCAGGAGGTGGTGGGTGCTGGGGAGGTGCAGGCGCTCCCAGAGGAGGTCGGTCCCTGGGGTGCCCTGGGACCCCTCCTCCTGCTCCTCTGTATTAGTCACTCTGGCATCACTGGGACAACATACCCCGCATCCACCAGTTCAGGAGCGCAGGCTTACTTCGCTCAGCATTCCAGTGGCTGAGTCCACAGCTGGCCGGCTCGGGGCAGAAGAGCGTGGTGGAAGGGTCTGGTGGGGGTGCTCCCCTCACGGCCGCCAGGAAGCAGAGACGCGCTTCCGGGTCAGCGCCCAGCGACCCCCGCCAACAGGCCCTGCCTCCCAATGGCGCAGGACTCAGCAGTGACTGAGTCCGTCCAAAGCCCCACTCCGGGCACGAGACCTCTGGGGCCCTTCCAGACCTAAACCGTAGCACCCTCTCGGAGCTTCTCACCTGCCCTGAGTGAGCAGCCCTGCTCCCCCAGGACTCCTTCAAGTGCTTGGCAGCTCTGTGGTCACCACAAGCCGAAGACGACGGAGCCAGCTGAGTATGGACTGAACCTTCCGAAGCTGTGGCCGAAGCGCACCTCTCCTCCTGTCAGTTGCTGTCCTCAGGCATTTTGTCACCATGATGTGAACGTAGCAGAAAACGAAGCCTTGTGCATTCGGATAGGAGTGTAAGTCAGCATAACCGCTGTGGAAATAGTGCGGAGGGCCGCAGAAAAGCTAACGCAGCCGTACACACGATCCAGAAACACCGCTGCGGAGTGTGTCCGAAGGAAGCGAGTCACAGAGAAGTCTGCGGCCCACGTTCACAGCGGCCCTGCTCACAGTCGCCAGAAGAAGGGGCCGCCGCGCCCATTGCTGATGAGGGAAGAAAGAAAACGTGGTGCCTGTACACGCGGGACCGTTATTCAGCCTTCAAAAAGAGCTAGATCTTGTGGTGTCTAAGGACATGGACAAACTTGGAGAACATTGTGTTGAGTGAAATAAGCCAGACACGGAAAGACCCGTACTGTGTCACCTCGCTTCTAGCTGTTACCTAAAGAAAGGCGAGAGCGGCGGTTCCTGGGAGCTGGGCGTGGAGAAAAAGCGGTGACCCAGTTCTAGGATGAGGAAGTCCCACGGCTCTGAGGCTCGGTGCGGGACCTGGGGTCCAGGGCTGTGTATGTGGCGCTGGCAGAGGGGAGCCGAGGACGGGCACAGAGGACCCTGGGGGAAACCGGGCGAGTGCCAGCAGTCACGGGCTCTGTTAACTACAGGGAATGCACCTCTCCTGTGGGCTGTCAGTGACGGTGAGGGCCGAGACCGGGCTGTGGGGACTGCAGAACCTTTCTGTGAACTGAAAACTTCTAAAAATAAACTTCTTTACAAATATAATCTGACATGGTCTAGGTCAGAGGCAATCTCAGAGCTGCATCTAGGCGACTAGGAACTGTCCCAGGCATCTTCCCTGCAGTGGCCCCCACACACCCGTGTTGATAGCAGCATAATTCAGAATAGCTCGATCTTGGAAGCAGCCTGTATTTCCACCAACAGAAGAATGGATGAAGAAAACGGGGTCTTTGTATATCATGGAGTACTACTCTGCCATAAAGAAGGATAAGCTTGAGTCGTTTGTCGGAAAATGGTCCACCTGGAGACCATAATGCTAAGAGAAATTAATCAGACTCACAAGCTTAATTAAGTATCACATGGTTCCTCTTACATGAGAAACCCAAAGCATAAATACTTTGAAGGACAAAATAAAAGATGGATGATAGGAAACAGACACTGTGATGATGGAAAGGAAAGCCAGGGGTGGGAGAGACAGGAGGGGAGGAAAAGGATCAAGATGCCCGATGTATGTGTGCCAGTGCCCCATGGTGAGCGTATGTAGTGCGTGTCACAAACATATATGGATAAAAATTCTTCAAAAGAGGGCTGCTGGGACCAAAAAGGACCGCATGTGAGGTGTTCAGCACCTGCCGCTGTTTGGACTGCAATGAATTTGATCAGTGTTTCTTGAACACCTACTACGCAACAGTACCATGATGGATAAAATGGCCAAACATTATCATAAAATGGAGAACAGATGCCATCGGTAACACAGTGTGCAATGAGTGGCGGACGTGACAGAAAACCATAGGAGGGAGAGGAAGAGGTGTATGGGGTGAAGATAGCTGGGCCATGACTTTTACAAATCTACTTTCGGCAGCACATGCCTGCAGTGCAAGGGACCACAGCTGTCCTGGGGAGTTTGTGCGGTACAGGACACACCCGCATTCTTCTCCCTGCCCTTCTCACTTGGAAAGGATCTACTTTCTGTGATCTTTTATTTTCCTCTTTATTCACATTTTTGGGGTTTCTCACATAAGAGAAACAATGTAAAATTTAAGCTTCTTATTTCTTTTCTTTTTTTTTTAAAGCTTCTTATTTCATTTGATGTTATGGTCTCCAGGCACAGAGAGCCTCTGGAAATCAGTGTGAAGTTCCTCAGAACAGGTCCCTGACGGCCTCCCACTTCTGCTTTGGGTTCCCAGAGCGAGGCTCTGAGTTCAGATGGAACCAGGAACCCCCACCATGCTCTAGGGGGCACGTGACCAGGACTGGCCAATCAAAGGACAGCACAACCCTGGCCAGTGATTGGCCAGGATTGGGGCACATGGCCCAAGGGGGACAAAGCTGTCTCACCCCCATGGTTGCTAGGCAGGCTGGACGGGCTTAGCATTGGGATGCGCAGTGCCACACCCGGGCAAGGGCACCTTGCTCTGAAAATGAATCCAGCCATGAGGATAAAGATCCGCTCAGCAGAGGGCTGGGGTGGTCATCAGCCCCACTTGTGCTGCCTGGAGGAGCCCCTGTGAGGATAGAGGTGGTGTCTTTGTCCTCCAGGTGTTGCCTGGGTGTCCTGCAGCCATGGGGCTCCTGAAGTTGCAGAGCTGAGTTTTATTTTATCGTAAGTTGTTTTGTAGAAGCAGCGTTTTAATTGTCTATTTATTGCAGTCAAACTGTTTTGATGAACATAAATCAAAGTCATGACTAAGAGAGAGACCTCAGCAACTGACTTCGTTCTGGTTATTTGATTTCATAATAAAACATGCAGTAGAAAAATATACTGAAAATAAAGGCACCTACTTAAAAACACTGGAATTTGCAAGCGCTTTTTTGTGTATTAGGACTTGTCTTAATTTTGCCTCCCTTTAATCTGTTTAAATTTGAATAGTGACACATAACTAGTCGCTCTCATATTAAAAGGCAAAGCTCTAGATCAAGCCACACCTGGAGCTCTTGGCCTTTACAGTGACACGAGTCAGCCTGACGTGGAGGCACCTGCCTGTGACCTAAGCACTCTGGGAGGCTGAGGCAGGAGGGCCCGGCCAGCGTGGGCAATAGTAACTCAGTGAAACCCTGACTCAAACTAAACAATAAAGAAGAGGCTGAGGGGACAACTCAGGGCAAAGGTCCTGGGTTCAATCTCCAGTACTTAAGAAACAAAAGCAATGAGCTAAAAAAATTCATTTTGTGGCTTAAGCCAGTGTGAGGAGTTTCTGTGACACAGCGGAAAGAGCGGGCCTGGGAGGAGAGG